AATAATGATAAAAGATGTAATATGAATTGAAAGAATAAACATGAAAAGAATGTAACGCCAGTTTAAAAATAAATACAATGAATATAATAACCCTCTGAATCACTCGCTACATCTAGAGGAGGGGGAAAACGTGTGACCCAGGTAAGTACATTTATCAACAAGCAACTCTTAGAACAATTATTCAATGACGCTCCTACTTCGGCAGTTGTGCATCAGCAGGATTAAAACACAACACATTTGTCAACGACACTGTGACTGTAAAATAATATGTATATAACAGGCGACGTTTCAGACGATGGCGCTTCTATGAGGAACGTCCATTGTCCGAAATGCCACCGGCTATATATTTTACTTTGAAGGCAGTATTATTGACGGATGTGTTGAGTTGTTTTTGTTATCTGTGCTTGTGCAGAACTACCAACGCAGCATCCCCAATGATGTTTCTAATTGTGTATATATAAACAAAGACAAAGATCCCCCGTATAGCCTCATCAGACTATTGGGGAAAGTGCTGTTAGCGAGCACCTATGAAGGCCGGCCGCCTTTATCTCCCCAGTGGCGACGTTTACACACCGCACCAGGTACTCATTTGAGGCTGAGTCGACCTAGGGGAGGCCCAGGACCGGTTCAAATAATCGTCACCGGCGTTGGCCCGTGAGCAGCAATCGAACCTCGAGTGGCCGGGTTCGTAGCGCAGCGCAGCGCGCTAATCGCTCCGCATAAATAAACGCGCACACGAGGGCACCCTTGCTGGAGTCATATTCCCTTTGCCAACACCCGTGCCCTGCCCCCCGCCGCGCCGCGTGAGGTGCCCGGGCGGTGCAGAGCTGCCTGCCGCGAGTGATGCTGAACCTGCCTCTGGGTTCCAGTGGCATCCAACCCAAAACCGGCCTGCGCTGCGGCGCCCAAATGTTTTTTTTTTCTCTCTCTCTCTCTTCTTAATCGTGGTTATGAGAGATATTTAATCACTCTTGTTAAACAGAGAAAGGATGTCAACTCTCATCGCCATCACCTCTTCGTCGCCCACCTCTCCCCCCTCTCCATCTAAAAATTCCAAGTCGCACACGCTCTCTAATTGTGGCTTTTTTCGGGGGTTCGCGTCGCTTGTTGGTTGGAATTGTGTCCGACGTTTCACTTGTCGAAGAAGCCCCCGGTACGTGGAGCTAAAGGCCGTCTACATCGTGTCGAACAACGCGCGGTACATCACAACCTCGAACCCCTACGCAGCGGCACTCCCCCCTGCCCCATTGTGTACGGATCAAGGGCACGATGATTGGCACTGTGCGCTGAAAACCCAGCGAATTGAATTTGAATTCTCAGAATTCAATTCACAGTCACAGATGGACTTCGGTGAGAATGGTGATGTGAACGTCTCCTGGATCTCCCCCTTCGGTTGTCTCTGCCTTAAACGAGTGCCTGGTGCAAGGGTGTTGACGTCAGAGCTGGGGACACAAAGACAGCCGAGCGTGGTGCTAGTCACACACCTCTTTCTCTCTCTGGCGTGTATCTTGCCGGCATGAATATAATAGGTGCTCACTGACAGCACTTATCCCAACGGTCAGGCTATAAGGGAGGTCCTTGTGTGTTTGCTCGATCTGGCAATATTCTGAAAAAACTGAATATTGACATGTGGTGGTCTCATTGGCGCAGGGATGACCTTCTAAAGGTCATAAAACAATTGAGATGTTTAACTGACCGTAAACCACCACGGAATACAGCGGGGTACGCTACAATCCACGTAGTTGTCCAACTACAACTTTTATAACGACACAATTGTATACGTCAGTCAGAGAAGTAACATTTCGTATCTATCGATCGCTCGATAAACATTGCCGCTGACCCCCCCCCCCCCGCCATTCCTGGCAAGAACTGCCCCTGCGTTGTGGCCCCCCGGACAAAACAAATCTATGTCTCCCCCATTGTGCATTCATTCCGTCAGTGCTGCGGCGGTGTGCAGACGAGACTCCCTCCCAAGCAGCCCTCCCTTGAATCCCGATCGCCCTTCACACGCAAGGGCCGGGCCGTCAATAGCACAAAACCCCACATCACGGGAGACCCGAGACCCCCCCCCCCCACTCCGCCTCCGCCGACTTTAATCCCATCGCCCGCATCGCCCCTTCCCCACACACCAACCTCGTCCCCAAGAGGCCTTGGTCCTGACACCGACACGACGCGGACCTGCCCCAGTGGGCCCGTGTCTTCTCTCTCGTCCCTGACCCTCAGTGTATCACAGCCCCAAGCACCCCCCCCCCCATCCTATAGATAATCACCTCCGCCATCTCCAGCCCTCGCTATCTTCTCCCCACCCACCCCCGTCACTCGTTTTCCTCGCTCTCGCTCTGTTTCTCTCTCTCTCTGTGTGCGTCCATGCCATCGCCACACTGCCCACTGCCACCCCCTTGCCACCCCCGCCAACATCATCACCAATGCCCCCCTCCCCAGTCGTGTCCACAACGGACCCCCGGCTGCTCTACGGCGACGAAAGGTCGACAGGAGCGGCGTGTACACACACAAAGACAAAGATAAAGACAAAGATCCCCCGTATAGCCTTATGAGACTGTAGGGGCAAGTGCTGTTAGCGAGTACCTTTCATGGCCGGCACGGCACAGGAAGGGGTGGGTGGCCAACACCACGCCCGACCGCCTTTGTATCCCTAGTGGCGATGTTTACACATCGCACCAGGTACTAATTTGAGGCTGAGTCGACCTAGGGGAGGCCCATGACCAGTTCAAATAATCGTCACCGGTGTTGGCCGTGAGCGGGAATCGAACCCGGGTCGCCAGGTTCGTAGTGCAGCGCGCTAACCGCTACACCACCGCTCCCCGGCGTGTACACACACACACACATATACACGCGCACACAGACGTATAAAGACAAAGCTGGCCCGCATAGCCTCCACATGGGGTCTTGGGTCAAGCTTTGTTATCGAGCACCTGTTAAGGTTGGCACAGCGAACGACGTTCAGATGTTACGCCCGGCCGCTTTTGTCTCTCCCCCCCCACCCACAATGCTGAATTTTACACGCCGCACCAGGTAAGCCATCTGAGGCTGAGTCGACCTAGACGGAGGCCCAGGATCGGTTTCGATACCGCTCGCCACGGGTGTTAGCATTGGAGGGGAATCGAATTAGGGGAGCCGAGTTCAAAGTTCATAGCGCAAACCACTGCGCCACATACATAAATACGCACAAAAAAATACAAAGATCCCCCGTATAGCCTTAACCGACTGTTCGGGCAAGTGCTGTTAGCGAACACCTATGAAGGCCGGCATGGCACGCAAGGGGGTAGGTGGCCAACACCACGCCCGGCCGCCTTTGTCTCCTTAGTGGCGATGTTTACTACACACCGCACCAGGTACTCATTTGAGGCTGAGTCAACCTAGGGGAGGCCCGGTTCATACCGACTTGCACATGCGCACATTTTCAGAAGAGAACATTGAGATTTAAGTTGAGACGACGAGAGCGCTTTTAGCAAACGCCTACCAAGGTCCAAGGGACACACGGCGGTACTGAAATGTCGTATCAATGATCGACTTTAGGCCGAGTCGACCTAGGGGAGGCCACAACCTTGTTCACCCACAGCATGCAAGTGACGCCGATGCCCAGGAATAGAAATGCGACGTGTTTGAATGGGTCGCAGCGCAATCCATAACGTTATTATTATTATTTTCACATACATCATTAACACAGAGATTTTTTTTTAAAAGACCGCTCATTTAGCTCTATAGACTGTCTGAGCAAGTGGCGTTCGTGTCTACTAACAGCCCGGTGAGCCACACACGCGAAGACAAAGATCCCCCATATAGCCTTCACCAGAATCCTTGGACAAGTGCCGTTAGCGAGCACCTATGAAGGTCAACGCGGCACTCGAGATGAGTGCGTGGCTAACACCACGCCCGGCAGCCTTTGTCTCCCTGGTGCTGAATGTTGACGCACCGCACCAGGTACTCACTCAAGGATGAGTCGACCCAGGTGTGGCCACAGAACTAGTTCAGATATTCGCCGCGGGACATTGGTTGTAAGCATGAATCGAACCCGAGCCGCAGAGTAATAATTCACAGCGCGCAGTGCGCTAACCACTGCGCCCACCGCTCCCCGCACGCACAAAGACACAGACGTGCAACGGACGCCACAACTCCATCCCGTGTCCCCCCCACCCCACTCACCCCCCCCCGCCTTCCCTCGATCCCATCCCGCCCGTCCTATAGTCCGCGCTCCATCCCCTCCACCCACACCAACCCGTCCTGTGTGTTGAGCCTCTGGGCTGCATCCAATCACGCAGAGATATCGGGGCAAGGGAGAGCGTCAAGAGCGGCCGGGTGGGCTGCATTAGCAGCAGTAGCTCCTCCGTGCCTCTTGCGAGCCTCCTCCGTCTCAACACGTGCTCGCTTGCTCTGCTTGCTGCTGCTGCTGCTGTTGCTGCTGCTGTTGCTGCTGTTGCTGCTGCTGCTGTTGCTGCTGCTGAGCGCGCGTGGCTGCCACACAATAGGCGAGCTGTAGGCACCGTCGGATTTCGCCTCGAACCGAATGATAAACATTGGCGACGGAATCTTTGCCCGGCTCTCAATTCGTTGCTCGGCGTACGCACGCAACGTACGCGCGCGCGTTGGGTAAAATACATCGGCGTTTCGTGATTCATGCGCGCGCATTGGGTGGCACGCGTTCGTCCCTCGTCTCGTTGCGCGCGCTTGCAGCCGCACGCAGCGCGAGCGTAATTCGTGTTCGTGTTAACCGAGGACGGCACAGAGGCTACAAGTGCCCAACTCTGCAAGACGTGTATCTTGCGTGATGTAAAGTTTTTTTTTTGGTTGCGCACAGGCGCTATTCATTCCGTCTCCTTGCCCTGCCCTAGTGAGCGACCCTCCTCGATCGCTTCAACCCCCTAGTGTGGGTGTCTGTGTGTGGTCCGCGGGAGGGAGGGGGGGGGGTCCTTATTCTTCGGGGTCTCTGCACCCCCGACGTGGGGTGGGGGGGGGGGTCGGGTGTCCTGTACCTGTCACTCATGGCGGGGACTGCGAGTAGGGACGCTGAGTCGAGCGGGCATCAGCAGCAACAGCACGAGCATGAAAAGCATCAGCATCATCAGCAGCATCAGCAGCAGCAGCTCCATGGATCCCAGCACAATTTGGCCCATGCCGTGGCCTCTCCGGTGACCATGGGACATTCTCAGGACGGACACCACGAATCGAAGGTATGGTTGTTTCCATGTTCGCATTGTCCGCTGGTATGGCCGTGAGCGAGCACCACGCCCGCTCGCCTACCACTCCGTAGCGTCAGTGTCCACGATGGCTCGTCGACTGCATATGCCTCTTTGTGTCACGCTGAGCCCCTGCCGCTGCTGCTGCTGCTTGCTGCGTGCATCCTCTCCACAGCTTCTCACGTTTCATGATCCCATGGGCAGGACAGGGGTATGTATTTGCATGCTGAGCAGGTAGCAAGCAGACTAGCGTGGTCCGCGTTATCCAAATTTACAAGCGCGAGGAAGAATATTTTGCGGCGGATGTGAAATGTTTGACTCCCCCCCCCCCCACTCCGTTTATCTCTAAATAATCGATCTTTTGAGACCCCATTCCCTCGCACACACACGCATACATATACACACCTGTTCATAAACGTGCCTCCATTCCCGCTCAGCTCGGCCGTGTGATCTGATCTGCGCTATTCCTAATTGATGGCCCATTCCACGCGCCTCCAATTAGCACTCTCCTCGCGTGGAGGATCTGGGCGGCAGGCTTCCCACGACGAGGAATTTACGAATTCGCGCGTGGCGCATTCCTGGCTCGCAGAGGCGGGGGGCTGGGTGGGCTCGTGGATCAACGTTGGCAAAGGAAATACACGAAATGCGAAGCGAGGGTTTTGCCGTGCGGTCTTGCTGTTGTCTTTTACGAAGGTCACAAAAGCGTCTCCGTTCACGGCGGTCCGCTTCCGTAGCGCTGAAAAAGGAGAGATAAAGCCTCATTTGCTGTGCGTGTGCACCATCACAACGCTTGCCTCGTCTTGCCACACACACACACACCGATAACGATCATACCGTGAACTAGTCACCCACACTGCTATTAACAATCTCTCAATCACACTGCGTGCTAATATGTCTCACGCCGTTAACTAAATCTCACACTCGCCGTGAACGTCTCTCACTCACACACACACACACCGCACACGATTACCAACCTCTCATACACACATCGTTAACGATCTCTCCTCGACTCGTGGTGAAATAGTATTTCACTCATACACACCGCACACCATTAACCATCTCTCAAACCCACCGTTTGCTCATGTATCTCACACGCCCTTAACTATCTCCCATACTTACCATGAACTGATCTATAACCTTCACACACACCCCATTAATCATCCCTATCGCATACCTTGTTTTTCTATCTGGCATATATACGTGTATACACACTCATAACCGTCTAACATATAGCCCCGAATCATCCACCCTTTTTGGTCTGACATACACACACGCGAACATACATACACACCAATAACTACGCCCCTCAGTAAGCATCGTTTCATTGATTGATGCACAACATAGATTGACGCACGCCATGGGATGACGCACACCATGGGTTGACGCACAACATGGGATGACGCACACCATGGATTGACGCACACCATGGGATGACGCACACCATGGGTTGACGCACACCATGGGTTGACGCACACCATGGATTGACGCACACCATGGGTTGACGCACAACATGGGTTGACGCACACCATGGGTTGACGCACACCATGGATTGACGCACACCATGGATTGACGCACACCATGGATTGACGCACACCATGGGATGACGCACACCATGGATGGACGCACACCATGGGTTGACGCACACCATGGGTTGACGCACACCATGGGTTGACGCACACCATGGATTGACGCACACCATGGGATGACGCACACCATGGGTTGACGCACACCATGGATGACGCACACCATGGGTTGACGCATACCCCAGGATTGACGCACACCATGATATTTATTCAAACGATGCGCAATTGATCACAAAAAAGGCCACGTGCCTCGTATAATATGCGCACCCTGAAAACATCCATGACACACAGACACACAACGCCAGGAATAATGTCACTCACACACCACGAACCAACTCTCACGCACTTCGACAGCAGCTGTTGCACACGTCTCTCCCGACATCCAGGACATTGACTATCATTATGCTACTGCCTGTCATACTTTGTCATAACAATAGGTAAGACGGAGTTTTCTCAAATCCTTAAATACCGTTTTACGTTTTCCCAAATATGCCACCGCGCGGCTATACCGCTCCACACACGTCACCCACCAAAGACATAGGTCCCCCGTGTAGCCTTAACAGACTGTTGGGGCAAGTGCTGTTAGCGAGCACCTATGAAGGCCTGCAGGCCACACGAGAGGCTGGGGTGGCCAGCATCACGCCCGTCCGCCTTTATCTTCCTAATCTCGATGTTTACACATCGCACCACGTACTCATTTGAGGCTGAATCAACCCAGGACCGGTTCGGATAATCATCGCTGGGCGTTGGCCGTGAGCCGGAATCGAACTCGGGTATAGCCAGGTTGGTAGCGCAGCGGTGCTAACCGCTCCACCACCGCTCCCTACCTGCGCACACCTGCACAAGCCAGCGTAACGCCCACAAATCTAATCCCACGCTCTGCGCTCGAGTACCCAACGCATCTCGTCCGTTATTCGTGTTCAGCAACCTCCGCTAAAGCCGACGGCGTGGCGATACGGGGCGACGTTCGCCGTCTGGCGCCTCTCGCGCTCCCCGCGTGCGTCTGCGCCGACACAATGGAAGCAGCAGGCGGTGGTGGTCAACGCCGCAACGCGCGGCGATTTCAGATGCGCTGCGTCCTGCGCCCGTCTGGAAAGCTCTTCCCTTCCGACATTTGGAAGCCGCTCGGCTTGCTGCGTTTAGTTTATTGTCCTTCACCCGTGCCACCGCCCTCCCCTCCCCCCCTTGCCGATTATCACGGCTGGCTACGCACGGTCACGAACGAAGTTCAACGCACGCGCAACAGTGAGCACGACCGTTGCTCGAGGCAGATCGACTGCCTCGCGCCGTCGGTCGATCGGACTCCATCAAACACGCACAGAGCGAGCCCATCGTGGATGTTGCAGAGCTGTTGTTGTTGTTGTTGTTTTGTGTGTGTGTGGGATAAACACGTTCTTTATTACTGATAGGAACCTCCTGGTTACACCAACCCACAGGGGATTCTTGTGTCCGTCCGTCCGTCGTGGATCCAAAAATGGGAGGGGTGGGGCTGGGTGGAGAGGGGAGGGTGGGGAGGGGCTGGGTGGGGAGGGGCTGGTCACCCCGCGGTGCCCTTATAAAACTCAACGTTTAACCTACTCACGCCGGCTTGTGCCCACCCTCACAGTCGGGCATATTTGCGGAATACACCACGCCGCCGTTGACCCTGGCCATTGACCGAGCAACCCAACGTTCCTACCAGCTCCCTCCGCAGGAATGTGTTTGTTCACCAGTGCTGCCGTCACGATGGCAAGCGGCGAGATGAGTTGTTTCGTTTCCTCTTCCACGGTGACCTTTACAGAATGGTTCTTATTTTATATGTGAGGATTTAGTTCCATTGTTTCAGACCCTAATCTCCGTCGCGCGCGCAACAATTGCAACGCAATTTGCAATCATTCCCTAATGCGCCCGGACAATAGGTTAACGTGTGGAGCACGGGATAACAGAAACCTGCGATTATATTAAAATGCAATCAGATTTGTAAGGTAGCAAAGCCGATACATGTGACAAGTCGAAACAAATGGCGAGAACAAAGTAGTTGAGTCACACTCTTTTTTCCTAGCAGTCGGAGGGGAATTCTAATTATTCAATTCACTCCTCTCCCCCCCACCCTCCATTGTGATATTCACAACGCATTATTTTAATGGAGCTTCGTCTTATTCCCACGAGTTAACAACAGTGCCGGCACGTGGCGATGCTTACATTTTCAGTCCGTTTGTTTTCTCCCCGGCTGTGTTACAAGGGCGATAGCGCCGTGCCTGAGCACAGTAGCAGCAGCAGCATCCGAAGACAACAGTGACCACGGGGTCATTCAAGGGGTTGCGCAAACTAACAAACGAGGTACTCGATGGTCGTGAATGAATCGCGCGCGGATATTCAAGAGAAGAAATCAAAACCGCTCACAAAATGAGAACAAGAGGCGCCCGGACGCGGCCAGGTTCAAGTGCGAGTACGCTCCCTCCATGTTTAAGTCTACAAAGAGTGACATGAACGCACGGATAGAAAAAACAAATAGACTGTCCAAACAAAGGATCTTAATTTGTCAGTGAGCAGGTGTTGCAGTCTGTGGTTGCTGTAATTACAGCAACGCCCCCGAGTCGTACACGTGCTGCCTTTGGGCCGTACCCGTGCTGGCTACAGGCCGTACTCGTGCTGCCTTCGGGCCGTACCCGTGCTGCCTTTGGGCCGTACCCGTGCTGGCTACAGGCCGTACTCGTGCTGCCTTCGGGCCATACCCGTGCTGCCTTTGGGCCGTACCCGTGCTGGCTACAGGCCGTACACGTGCTGCCTTCAGGCCGTACACGTGCTGCCTACAGGCCGTACTCGTGCTGCCTACAGGCCGTACCCGTGCTGCCTGTAGGTCGTACCCGTGCTGCCTTCGGGCCGTACCCGTGCTGCCTACGGGCCGTACCCGTGCTGCCTTCGGGCCGTACACGTGATGCTTGTGTGCGCCACAACCGCAAACTGTTTGAATGAAGAGGGCATGTCGTGTCCGTCCACCGGAACATTTTTCATCCCTTTTATGGAACACGATGGGTTTTAAACTTTGCGCGCCATGACTATTGGCTTTGTATAAGAAACTCATTTGCCCTTAGGGTTCGCCAAAGGTTGCGGAGTCAAGGACGTGATGTGAAATGTACAGAACAGGGAGCGTAGATGTACACTGCGCCGCTGGAAAGACAAAGCGATCTCATTATACATTCTCCAAATGCAGCCAATGGAATGATGTGAAATGCATTGGACAAATCTGTTGATTGTTAGATGTAGGCTGCTAAAAAATATATATACTACATACAAGCAGAACTCTGTATCTCTGCATACAAACAAAAAAACACTGGGGGGGGGCGGCCTCTGATAATAATAACAGAAGAAGCAACGCAGCTGCATGTGAACGACAAAGAGACGCACAACATTTCACGCCTACAAATTGCC